TTTTTTTTTTTCTATGGGTAATTAACTCATAAATCAAATTTGAGTCAAGTATGGGTCGGAGTAACAAATTCAGCCCGCCATGTTAAGGCCCATGGCCCAAAAACTCTTTTGCGCCAGATTCCGCGTCAATCAAAATGATTTCCGTGGGGTCACAAATCAGAAAAGTAACATGCATTTCTTCACCTGTGTAATCGCACTAATAGATTCCCATGTCGAAGTAATTCCTCCCCAATCACAAGGCTGTTTCCGTCAATTTGACATCCCCTAATTACGCGGCGAAACTTTACTTTCACCCGGATCAACCTTGCCAAATCAGAAATGCGGTTAAACAAGATGATCTCACCCAGTCAATTTCCAATTTTACCCCTCCAATGACCTTTTCCGACCATCATCGTACTTCTCACAAATTTGTCTCTTTCTCTCATTCTGGCCTATCAATCAACATCTTCAAAAATCGGTGGATAACAACACAATCACATCGAAGCTAGCTTTACTTCAACTACTAGACTATAACCAAAACCCTAACTCGTTCCTTCGACGAGTTTCAGCGAGTTCGCTCAAAGCGATCATGAGTCGAATCAGAAGAATCGAGCTCATCAAGCCATACACCTACACCTACTACCCCTCCTCCTCCTCCATCCTCCTCAGAGAAACCTCCGTTTTCGCTCCCAAAACCCTAGCTTTTCCTTCCTTCTTCGACGAATTGGAAGACTGCGAGCTTGGTTTCGGTCTAGGTCTCGATCTTGTGAGCCCAAGCCTTAGCCCCTTCGAGCTCTTCGACAATGTCACCGATCTGATCCGCGTTGAGAAAACGCCGTCGTTCTCGTCGTACCGGCGAATTCAGCGGGTCGAGAGGCTAGGAGCCGAGGTTTTCCTCGAGAGGCTGAGCGACCGAGTCAGCGAGTTGGAATCGCGCTTCGATCGGCTTGCGAGGATCGGCGCCGCCGGCGCCGAAGATCGGAAGTACACGTGGACTGCGGAGATAAAGGCCCCGGCGGCGAAGTACGTCACCGATCGGAAGTACAAGTTGACGGCGGAGATCAGAGACGGAAAGAAGGAGAAGAAGGAGCAGGGGAGTGGGAAGACTTACAGATGGACGGCTGAGATCGAGGGAAAAGGATCGGACGGTCCGATCTCAAGGACGTACACGTTTAAAGCATCGACTGGCGGTGGAAACGAGTGTAGCGAATCCAAGACGAAGGAGAAGAAGAAGAAGAGTGATAAGAGCGAGAACGGCAGGCGTGTGGTGGTGATTGAAGAGCCTGATGAAGCAGATCATGGGGCTGTAGTTCTGAGGCAGGTAATAGCTTCTAAAATTACATTTTTAGCCCTGTTTTATGTAGCATAATCTTCTTTCATGATTTAAAAATGGATTGGTGGTCATTGGTCAATTAATTGGGTCCATTTGGTTGATGTTGTTGTTGTTTAGTCATCAAAAATGATCATTTGATCAGGACACAAATAGTACTTTAAAACCGATTAATTGAGCTGGGTCTTTATTGTACTGTTCTCGTGAGTATATCATTCGTTTAATTCAACGAATTCGT